TCAGAGTCTAACAAAACCAGAGGGACAACCCCAGCCAATAGAAGTTGCCCCTATCCAAAAGAGAAAATATAAGACCAAATCAGTTTGCCCGGTAGACAATGATGGGGAGGCAAGACCCTCACAAATAACAGACCCAGAGTCAGAAATAATCACCAAATCCCTTTCATTTGGTAATCTCCACAACCTGAGAAAAGACATCACTCAATGACCGGATGAACCCATTCTGACCTGTTTGATTTGAGTCTGGGATCTTATGGGTGAAGTTGCACTGCTTGATGGCACCAAAGCAAGGTATTTAGGATCCCTGTCTCAGGATGATGGTATTAACCAGGGGTTTGTAAGGGAGTCAGAAGTCCTTCATCTCTGGGCACAGCTTTCAAGAAGCATAAGAGAGAGGTTTTCTTACAGAGACGACCTGCAGGGGCATCATCTTCGCACCTGGGAGACCATGGAAGATGAGATCCAACACCTGAGAGAAATGGCACTGTTAGAAGATACTTTTTGCAAGGGACAGGCAATCCAATAGAGACCCTGATGAGGTCAAGTGTATATCAGAGATGTGGTGGAACCTTGGACACTCAGGACCACCCATATATGCTAATTTCCTGGTGACAATGCACTGGAAGGAAAACCAAGAAACAGTGGGCACTATCTTGAGTAAACTCAGGACATATAATGAGATTGTCCATGCCCCATTGTGGCCCCCTATCTCTTCTGTAGAGAAATTAGTTGCGGACCTCTGGGCACTGACTGAAGAAGTAAAAAATGACCACAAAAATCTCAGAGAGGAGTTTAAAGAGAGCATTGTCCATGTGTCTCACCAGTGCAAACTGGGGCCCCTGCTATCTGAAACAGGTGTCTTCTGGCAAGGGAGAGGGAGTAAACCACACATGTGGTTTTTCCTATGGAAAATGACCAGAGGCAATTCCATGAGGATGGATGTAGCCCCAGTCTCCCATGGGCAAACCCCTAGACAGAACCGGAGGAACTAGAACATGTCTGATCCCTTAGAAGGCACCTCCCGTATGTACTCACAGGGAGAAAGTCACAATTACCAAGACCAGCATAAGAGGGGCCCTGCCTCTAGCCAGGTAGAGGCACAGGATAACTGGGTCTATTGGACTGTGTGGATCTGATGGCCTGGCACATGAGACCCATGAGAATGCAAAGCTTTGGTTGACACTGGTGCACAGTGCACTCTAATGCCATCAGGGCATGTGGGAGTGGAGTCTATTTCAATTGCTGGAGTGACAGGGAGTTCTCAAGGGCTGCCAGTGGTGGAAGCTGAAGTGACCTTGATGGGGAAGGAGTAGCAGAGACAGTCCATTGTGACTGGTCCAGATGCCCCATGGATCCTGGATATCGATTGCCTAAAGAATGGGTATTTCAAAGATCCAAAAGGAAATTGGTGGTCTTTTGGGATAGCTGTTGTAGAGACAGAAGGGATTAAAAAGTTGAATGCATTGCCTGACCTCTCAGAGAATCCTTCTGCTGTGGGACTGCTAAAGGTTGAATAACAGCGGGTGCCAATCACCACTGCAACAGTGCACTGTCAACAATATCGCACAAACCGAGACTCCATGATCCCCATCCATAAGATGATCTGTGAGCTGGAGAGCCAAGGAGTGGTCAGCAAGACTCACTCACTCTTCAACAGACCCCTTTGGCCCATGCCTAAGCCCAATGGAGAATGGAGACTGACAGTGGGCTATCATGGCTTGAATGAAGTTACCCCATCGCTGAGTGCCACTGTGGCAGACGTGCTGGAACTTCAGTATGAACTGGAGTCAAAGGCAGCAAAGTGGTGTCATCATTGACATTGCTAATGCGTTTTCTCCATTCCTTTGGCAGGAGAGTGCTGGCCACAGTTTACTTTCACCTGAAAGGGGGCATGTAGTACACCTGGAACTGACTGTCCCAGGGATGGAAACCCACCATCTGCCATGGACTGATCCAGGCTGCACTAGAGAAAGGTGAGGCTCCAGAACATCTGTAATACATTGATGAAATCATTGTATGGGGGAACATAGCAGAAGAAGTCTTTAAGAAAGGAGAGAAGATCATCCAGATTCTCCTGGGAGCCGGATTTGCCATCAAACAGATTAAGGTCAAGGGACCTGCCTGAGAAATCCTTTTCCTGGGAGTGAAGTGGCAGGATGGACACCATCAGATCCCGACAGAAGTCATCAACAAGCTTACAGCAATGTCTCCAGTGGCCAGCAAGAAGGAAATGCAAGCTTTCCAAGGCACCATAGGTTTCTGGAGGATGCACATCCCAGAATACAACCAGATTGTAAGTCCTCTCTACTTGTAACATGTAAAAAGAACATTTTCCAGTGGGACCGAAACAGCAACAAGCCTTTAAACAGATGAAACAGGAGATCACTGATGCTGTAACCCTTGAAACAATCAGGACAGGACCAGAGGTGAAGGACGTGCTCTACTCTGGAGCTGGGGAAAATGGTCCTTCCTGGAGCCTCTGGTAGAAGGTGCCTGGGGAGACCACTTGGATTCTGGAGCCAAAGCTACAGAGGGTCTGAGGCCAACTACACTCCAACAGAGAAGGAGATTCTAGCAGCCTATGAAGGAACTCAAGCCACTTCAGAGGTGATTGGCATGCAAGCACAGCTTCTGGCACCCTGACTGCCAGTGCTGTGGTGGATGTTCAAGGGAAAGACTCCTTCCATGCATCATGCCACTGACACTACATGGAGTAAGTGGATTGCCTTGATCATGCAGCATGCCAGAATCAGGAACCCTAATCACCCTGGGATCTTGGAGATAACTACAAATTGGTCTGTGAGAATTTTGGTCTGGCAAATGAAGAGGAATAAGAACAGGTGGCACATGCTGAGGAAACTCCACCATACAACCAACTGACAGAGGATGAAAAGCTCTACACTCTTTTCACTGATGATTACTGTTGCATTGTAGGGATGAACCGGAAATGGAAAGCAGACGTATGAAGCCCCACATGACAAGTATCAAAAGCCATGGAAGGAAAAGGTGGATCAAGTCAAGGAGCTCAGAGCCATCCAGTTGGCTTTGGATATTGCTGAACAAGAGAAGTGGCCAAGACTTTACTTCTACACTGACTTGTGGATGGTGGCCAATGCTCTGTGGGGGTGGCTGGAGAGATGGAGGAAGGAAAAATGGCAATGTAAAGGGAAACCCATCTGGGCTTCTGAAATGTGGCCCAGGCAGAGAAGCTGATTGTGAAAGTCTGCCGTGTACACCCATATGTGCCCAAAAACCGAGCAAATGAAGAACAGTCACACTGAACTGCCCAAGTCAAAGTGTCACAGACCTTTATTGGCAGGAGAAGAGAGAGTTGTTCCTAGCTCAATGGGCTCATGATGCCTCAGGTCATCAGGGAAGAGATGCCACCTCTAGGTGGGTGCAAGACCAAGGGGTGGATGCCACGGATGCCATTTCCCAGGTTATCCACGGCTGTGAAACATGCACTGCAATCAAGCGGGCTAAGAAAGTAAAGCCCCTGTGGTATGGTGGGCGATGGACCAAGTATAGATATTGGGAGGCCTGGTAGACTGATTATATCACACTGCCACAAACTCGTCAAGGTAAGCTATATGTGCTCACCATGGTGGAAGCAACGACCAGATTGCTGGAAATATACTCTGTGCCTCAAGCCACTGCTAGAACATGATCCTGAACCTTGAAAATCAAGTCCTGTGGTGATATGGCATCCCAGAATGAATTGAGTCAGACAATGGACTCATTTCAAGAACAGCCTAGTCACCACCTGGGCTAAAGAGCAGGGTACTGAGTGGATATATTGCATTTCTGTCATGTACCAGCTAGTGGGAAGACTGAACAGCGTAATGGACTGTTGAAAACCACTTTGAAGGCATTGGCCAGGGAGACTTTCAAGCACTGGTATCAGCATTTAGCAAAGGCTATGTGGTTAGTCAAAGCTAGAGGCTCTGTCAACCGAGTCAGCTCTGCCTAATCAGAGCCCCTTCATAACGTAAAGGGAGATAAAGTTCCCATAGTGCACCTGAGAGATATGTTAGAGAAAATGGTTTGGTTTAGTCCCACCCCAAGCAAAAGTAAACCCATTTGTAGGATTGGTTTTGCTCAAGGGCTGGGTTGCACATGGTGGGTAATAAAGATGGAGAAACACGATGTATACTTCCTTGAGAGGATCTAATTTTTGGGTAAACTGTCCATAACATTTTGCCTGTATGTGTATATATTTGCAAATGTGTATATAAGTGGAATAATATGTGTATGTGTATAGTCAGGAAGGTTCAAATTTGATATAACATGATGGTATGAAAAAAATTGCATTGGATAATGTTATGGTTTAGCTAAATTAAGATTTTCTTGTTGAACTTTTTCATATAATCACGTGTTTTTTTTTGAGAACGCAGGGGACACTGCCCCTCTCTTACCCTTCCCAGACTGGGGGCAGGGAGGGATGAAGGGTCCCATCAAGAAATACAGTGAGAACTTAATAGGATAAACTTGCTAGCAGGACCGGAACATGTTCTCTCTGGTTCTGGTGGGGGCTGCTCTCTTTCTCATTGTGGTTCTGGTCTCTGGCCATTTTTCCCACCTTGATGCTGCTGTTTCTGTTTGGCTGGGCTGCGCCTTAGCCATGCTCCCTGTGCCACACCAGCTGTCCCTGCCACTGCTGCCACTGCTTCTGCCTTGGAGTAGCGTTGCTTGCAGTTGTCACTACTGCCCACTGCCACTGCTCTTCCCGCACTGCCAGTGCCGCTCTGCACACCAGTACTTCCCCCCTACCAGTACTTCCCCCCCCTCACCTACACACGACCTCTGTTGGGACTGCGTTGCCCTCTTGGCAGTATACACTGAAAGAGTGGTTTTAGGTGACATTCTTTTCTGTTATTGTTTGGATTTTTTTGTTTTGTTCTTTTTTGTTCTCCTTTTTTAGTAAAACTGTTATTAATTTCCATACTTCACTTGAATGCCTTGTAATTTCAAAGACTTTCATAATTTAAGGGGGAGGGGGTATTCTATTGGAGGTCCTGCCTCCTGGAACATGTCAGCAAACCAAGACACATAGTGATGTAATAGTAATAGATATCACAAAGTAATGGTTGAAATGTGCCATGTGTTCTGTCTGTCATACTTTGAAAGATTGCACATAGCTTTTTGGTGTGTGACCAGGATCAACATATTTTTGGTTATCTGTTTTTTGAATCAGAAACTTTATTCTTATAATTTTCCTATATCACACCAAATGCAAGGGTTGCTTTTTGGTCTAGTCATCAAATCTATGTAAGGATTACAGCAAAGAAGGCCATTTCTCTTACTCCCAAATCTGAATGTCCTGTAGATTTTTAACTTGATGAATGATGCATCTACAAAAATCATATTGAACGTGGAACAGTAATACACTCCTCAGAGGACTGCTGTCATGAGGAAACAACATCAGATTAAAAAGCCATTTTAAGCTTAGCTCTACTAGCCTTAAAATGCTACAGTGGAACATGATAGCACAATGCAACATATAGCTGTACACCTTTAAAATAGACTGGGCCTAGGTCCAACTCTGTTTAAACAGAGCTCCAAATTGATCAGCATCAGAGACAAGTGTTATAACGACATTTTATTTTTATCTGTCTTTAAACAGATTTATGGTTATGATGATCTCCAGATGCTTCAGCCCAGGTTGCCAATGGTAAGTAAATGTCTTGGTTTATTTCATTTTAGAAAAGATATCTTCAGTGTTGATCATTTGTGTGATGCAAATGAGTTCATTTAATGGTGATTAAGAGCTTATCTTTATATTCTATATTCTGTTTTTTTAATTATCCATAAACAGTTTTCTAGGTGGTATAAATTGATACAGCGAAACTGTTGCATTATGCATTTGTCTATTTGCAAATAGAAGCAAATGTGCTCTGTGCTTCTGAGTGGAGAAATTTTTAATTGTTGTTCTAGTTAGAGCATGACATTTTGTCAAATCTAGTCGAAGTCTAAGTGTCAATGTTTTTTGTTTTTTTTTTTTTTTTTACTGAGAGGTAGGGTTGAACAGCAAGTACACAAATTGGCAGCCAGTAGGTGCTTCTGACAGGTTTTGGAGACACTCATAGGTGCAGATCTCTGTGTGTGCATCATGGCAACAAACGCAGTTGAGCTGCAGGAGGGAGAGCATATGAAGTTTTCCTTTTTACCTGGATCCAGAATGTAAATGGCATCTGAGTGAAGCTGAGAATTAGATTCACAGAAAGCCTCAGCCTAGATTGTGGAAAAGGAAAATTTTTTTTTTTTCTGAAAACTAGAATAAGGGTCTTGAAGGGAACATTTGGTAGTATGTTACTGAGAAAAGTCACAGGATTAAGTGATGCAGTGTATCTATAGAGGCAGAAATGGAGCAATGAGCAGTGATCTGAAAAGAAATATTACTGAATGAATGCCATAGATAAAGGTCCAAGTCAGAACCAGGTCTTTCATGTGGAGTCGGAACAGCCAGAGTCAGACATTCAAAGGTGAGTACAGGGATATCCCAGACAAAACCCTGTCTCAAACTCAGGCAACTTTATTTTATAATTCATCAAATAAAGCATGCTGAAAATGCTAGTCAGGAGTGTGGATTTCTTAGTGCAGTTATGGCTGTTCTTAGGAAGCATGGCTGAGGGAACTGGTGTTGTTAAGCATTGAGAAAATGAAGCTTAGGAGAAACTTGAAAGGAAGTTGTAGAGAGGTGGGTGTTGGTCTCTTCTCCCATGTAACAAGCAATATGACAAGACGAAAGGGCCTCAAGTTGCCCCAGAAGAGGTTTATAATGGATATTAGGAAAAATTTCTTCACAGAAAGGATTGTCAAGCATTGGAGCAGGCTACCCAGGGAAGTGGTTGAGTCTTTTTTGCAGTTGAACTTCTCCTTCCTGCCCGAGTCTCTTTTCTGTCTGTAATGTCCTGGTGTTGGTTGTGGTCTGTTTTCCTTTCTTGTGTGCCTTTGTTTTCATATTAGCCCATCTTTTCACATTTGGAAGGATTCTGAAATTGTGTTGTTTGGAAGAGACTGGGGAGCCCCCTCCTGGAGCAAGGGCCTGGGGGGGGGGGGGGTGGCAGCGGTGGCGGATTCCAAGGAGAGGGCTCTGGGTGTAGACACTTAATTGTTGGATGTGTTCCTGGATACAGCTGCCCCAGCTCCTGTGTTTGAAGCTCCTGAGAATGAGCAAGAAAGGCTTTTCCTTCAGGTATATATATTGCTCCTCCTCCTACTGGATTGGATCCCCGACAGTGGTCCCATGTGTGTGTTCCTGTAGCAGGAGTCTTGTGCTTTCTCTGCCTCCTTGCCCGAGGTATCTGGAGAGCAAAGAAGAAAATGTCCCCCATGAGGCTGTTTGTAAGCAAAGGGTCTTGCGTTTGGGATGGCTCTGAGCCCCTGTGCCCCTAGAGGAGGGGTGTCCAAGAGTCCTCTGGAGGTGGAGCTGAACCAGCTAATCTAGTTATAAAGCTCTAGTAGGAAGAGAAGGAGGTGGCAGTTTTGCTGAAGTTTTAAGGTCCCCTACAACAGCAGGGATCATGTTCTGCTTCTATGAGAGCCCTTATCACATGTTTTATCAAAGCTTTTGGAGCAGATGAGATGTGTGAGGTGGTGGTGACAGGCTGGGAGCCATGGTCTCATCAGGCAATGTTGTATTGGGGGGTGCTGCGTTGGGGTGCTGGCATGTGCACGATGTTTTGGCATAACTAGGTGCCATCCCTGCAGGAGGCCATGGTTGGACCTTGTCTGTGTTGCCCTAGAATAGCTCATGCCTGTAAGGTGTTTTCAAGCAACACAATGAGACATTTGTCATGAAAAGTGCCTGAAGTGGCAAGAGGAGCTGAATTCAGCTTAGTCAAAGTGATCTCTGCTGTGGCTCTCCTGCATGTAGTCATGGAATGGATTGGGTTTAAAGGGACCTTTAAAGGTCATCTAGTCTGACCCCCCCAGGGATGAGCAGGGACATCTTCAACTAGATCAGGTTGCTCAGAGCCCCATCCAACCTGGCCTTGAATGTTTCCAAGGATGGGACATCCACGACCTCTCTGGGCAACCTGTGCCAGTGTTTTACTATCCTCATAGTAAAAAAAGTCTTCCTTATATCTAGTTTGAATCTACTCTCTTTTAGTTTAAAACCTTTACCCCTTGTCCTATTGCAACAGGCCATATTAAAAAGTCTGTCCCCATCTGTCTTATAAGTCCCCTTTAAGTGTTGAAAGGTCACAATAAAGTCTCCCCTGGAGCCTTCTCTTCTCCAGGCTGAACAACCTCAACTCTCTCCAACAGGTCCATGTCTTCCTTTTACTGAGGACTCCAGAGCTAATGATTAGTTGGTCTAAACCAAGATGGAAGGTGAAAAATGTTGAGGAGATACAGGCTAGAGATGATTCTGATGATGATGGCTAAACCCTGGCAGAAGTTTCCAAAGAGTGTGGAGGAGGGTTTTGGGGAAGAGGAAGGGTGCCTGCTGGTGGTGGCAAGGCTGTGGCATGCTGGGAGCCATGGACTGGAAGAGCTGGAGGCTGTCTCAGGGGAAGGTGGTGTCACAGGGACGAATGAGGGTGGTGAGACCCAGCAGGAGCACCAGGGTGCCATGGCACAGGCAGGGCTGTGGGGTTGCGAGCACAGTCATGATGGGGCTGTGGGTGCTGGTTGGATGAGCCTGGTCAGTCTTGGTGGTAGTGTGGGTGGGTACTATGTTGGTGTGCTGCCAGGTGAGTGGCTTAATGTGTTGTCATAACTTTCCTTTCCTCACTTTTTGATTGCAGTAAGTTTCCTACTGTGGTTTTCAGCTTTGACTGGGGGCTGTGGTGGTCTTGAGGAAGTGCATTGATGGGGTGGCTGTGCTTGGAGAGGGCATTGGCATGTTGGGGGGAGGTTGACTGTAGTTGAGATAGCAACATGTGGGACAGTTTTGCTGTTGATGGTTTTTTTGTGGTTTCTCCTTTCCCTCCTGGGCGAACTCTGATGACTGTTGTGTTCCACTGAATTTCCCTTCCTGCCCAAGTCTCTTTTCCTTATGTAATATGCCAATATTGGTTGTGAATATTTTTTTAGTTTTGGTGTATTTGTCATCTTTGCTTTTGTGTCAATACATAATTTCTTTTAACATTTTGGATGATTTGTAAAATGATGTATTTCTTGAGAATCTCAGGAATTCTCCAAGTTGAGAAGTCATTTGAGGAGGTAGCTCTGGGTCTAAGCACTTGAGCATTGAATGTTTATTGATGAAACTTCTAAAATCTCATTACTTCCCTTTTCTCTGTTTGAACCTTCGCAATGGGAGATAAGAAGTTTTTTCTAAGCTGTTGTTTATTGAATGAAGGGGATGCAGCCAGAAATATTTTTGTATAGGGTGATTTTTACTCTTTTTGCCAGTTGAGGAATTTTTCATGACTGCTGTCTCATTGTGCTGCATGGAGGAAAAGGTCCTTTACAAACAATTCCATTTTTCCAATTTCCAGTGTTTGCATGGTGAAATGCTTCTGTCATGTTATGCCCTCATACTACTGGAACTTCTCAGTTTCTGTCTCTCTTTTTATCACTGTGAGTGCATAATTTCTTTCCTTTTTTAAAAATTATTTCTCAATGGTCTATTTTGCTTTGGAAGTCCCAAGTGCAATCTGGTGCTGAGGGTAGATGGTGAGGGTGGCCTTGTCCAGTGATGCTTTTGGATACATCTCTGGGAATGGACATTCTACAACCTCCCTGATCCTACTTCTGGTGCTGTATCACCTTAATGCTAAAGATAATAATGTGTTTATTCTTTCATATTTGAAATCCCTGTATTCCAGCTTGTGTCATTACCTCTCCTCCTCTCTGTTTTTATGCCTGAGGAGGATTTACTTTCTTCAGCTGCCTCAGAGAAGACAGAGCCAATGAGGTTGCCCGACTGGCATCACAGGATAATTCTGGTTAGAAGAATATCAGGGCTGTAGTACAACCTGGGAGTTGCATCTTGAGGAGTCCTGCTGTGTACCTGAATCTATTTGGTCCCACTTGTTTTCTTGCTCTCCAGCTGCATGGGAAGTTCCCATTTGTTTGCGCAGAGCAGTGTCCTTGCAGTGATGTGGTGATGGAGGTGGTTTGAGCATGAAGAACAACCTTTTTTTCCTGTGTGGGAGGAGGTCAAAGCTGCTAAACTTTTCTGTTGCCTTGCTCAGGCTTATCTGTGTGTCGTGGTTTAACCCCAAGTGGCAACTAAGTACCACACAGCCACTTGCTCACTTCCACCCCACCCTGGTAGGTTTGGGAGGAGGATCGGGGAAAAAAACCAAACCCAAAACTTATGGATTGAGATAAGAACAGTTTAATAAATGAAACAAAATAAATATAATTGAGTAATAAAATAGAGGGGGAGAGAGAGAGAGAAAACCCAAGAGAAACAAGTGATGCACAATACAATTGCTCACCACTCACTGACTGATATTTGGCCTGTCCCCGAACTGCAATCAACCCCCCTTCTGGGTAACTCCCCCAGTTTATATACTGGGCATGATATTCTATGGTATGGAATATCTCTTTGGCCAGTTCGGATCAGCTGTCCTGGCCATGCTCCCTTACAGCTTTTTGTGCACCTGCTCACTGACAGAGCATGAGACACTGAAAAAGTCTCTGACTCAGGGTAAGCACTACTGAGCAACAACCAAACCATCAGTGTGTTATCAGCATTATTCTCATACTGAA